AGAACAGAATCATAGAACACTAGATTCTGGTTATCTCCACATACATAGATTATACAGTAGGCATTCCTGACAGTCTATGTCTCATGGCGTGCGCAGCATTGATTCATGCTACGACTGTGTCTCAAAGCGAGGTTAGGACAGTGTTCCACAGGGTGCGTATGTGGTCTAACAAAGATCTAGGTGGTAGATGAAGGTGATAAGTGGGTCGAAGGGATGACTGGTCTTCTCTAGAAAGAGACAAATAGGTAGATAGTAGCGATAGAGGCTACACGTGGGTCTTGCTGATGAAGAGCTGGAAGGAGATAAATGGTCTTCCCGAAGAAGAGATGGGTAAACAAATGTATTGTTAAGGTAATTAAAGAAGACGTTGCGTGAAGAATAATGCTTCTTCACGCCGAGTATTTATATACATAAAATTACCAAATAGCACGTAGCACACAGCCCCTATGCCCAACAATCTGCTACACATAACCTAATGAAACCAGCCCATTCTTATCAGTCTTCCTTGCTGGTTTTAGAAGTGAATTGAACTATTATTTGTGCTTTAACTTAGCCGTCTGCATGGCGTTTCATAATACGCTATGCCACAATGATCCATGAAACTGTGCTCCTACTAATATGTGTCTACTAACCTAGTCTACACGCAAATAAGGGACTAATAATACAGGGTATATAAAATCTCCGAATGCCTTACCCATGTACTCCTAAGTTAATATTTATCACAACCCTAACTTCATGATGTTGAGGATATAATAAAGATTGTGTCTGACCAAGGCTCTCGTAATTTAACAATTATTATAGTATTATTATGACTGGTATATGATTTGAGAATTTACAATTGCGCTGGAACAGCTAAGACAGTATGTGGAGAGATATCTTCATTGATATGCAGATGTGAAGTATCTATGATAATTATTATGTTACAGATTTGGGGAAGCTCGTCTCTTAACCCCTAGCTTGTTTACTTGTAGACCGATCACGTAACCAGCACGCAGCTTACCAAAGTGTGTCCCCAACTGAGCAGCCATGCTATTTGTCTTATATCAACAACCCATCTCTCGTTCTGCACATATTACTACTTGGAATATTGTTCTATAAAGACTAGATCTCCTTCACGCGCCATAATGCCATGCTGTCATAATAACTACCCATGCACCAGCTACTAGATCTACCATACTACATAGCTGAGCACAAGAGTTGGCCCTATTTGTTGTAACACCTCAATTGTCACAAACCATCTCTGGGATGTCGTATCACACTCAGGTAGCCGAATGATGACGTGCATACAATAACATAATTTAGTTATTGTAATGGTTACAGTGTTGTGATAGCAACATTTGCCATTCAGAGTTGTCGGAAAATATGGTTATTTAGAGACAATTATATCACCAACTAAGTAGCAGTAGTGTTTGGATCCCTCTGATTGGTCTGAAGTGTAGGCCCTCATATACGCGTATTGGTTGTACTAGCGCCTTGGCATATACATAGGGTAACTCACTAGATAGCTTAGATAGAGAATAGAGAAGAACAACTAACCCCTCGGAAATTCAGAACCTATTGTGCTAGCACATTTAATACCCGTGATATACCGACAAGAGTACTAGTTAGTTGCTGTATGATGGCTGTGGACTACTACACCCTTGGATATAGTATTGATGCTCATGTACTTAAGGAAGCTCTAGGACTGGTTTTTGCTGTAGCTTTTTGTCTGGTAAATTACTCATGTTTTAGAATCTAATTATTAATCTTAATATCTCGTCCTCATTATCAGCTTTGTCTTCGTCCTAGTCTCCTTCCTCGTCCGTGACATCAATGTTTTGTAGCTGTATGGTCTAATACTGCTGCCCTTCCAAACTAGATGCCAATGCCTTGATATTCTGTTGAATGGCATTATATATCCGCGCATTGATGTCAATCAATTGTGCACTACTGTCACGGTTTCAGTACAACATGCTTGGGCGATCTTGTAGGTACAGTATATTAATTATAATCCTCTAGAGAGAGAAATCCTATAGCTAGACTACAAATAAATATACACTCTGAGATACTCCCCTCCTATAAGATTCCCCCTAAGACTAGAATAATATGGAATCTTCGAAGATTCCCTAGATGACTCTCGATATGTCTGTCATCCTCATGAACCTTCAGTATACTTCCAGAAGGTTCATTGAGAATCTTCTAAGCTCCGTGTATCCCGAGATCCTTCCCGAAGATCCCCGAAGATCCCCGAAGATTCCCTTGATGTCATTGCCTGCGCTAGCCAGCGTAGGCTACAGGAATTCTTAGGCTTAGCAGCCGTTACAACTACCAATGTCATGCTAGGGTCATGTTGGCCAACATACGCCGCAGGGACCAATAGGCTTACAAGCTGTTACAGGCAAACGGCAATCTTGATCTAACCCACGGCTCACCTTTATGTGGCTTCTGGTTGATCAGTTTAAGATCACAGTGATTTCACGCAGGTGTCTCGTGGCTCCAACTAATCAACAATATAATGTGAGTAGAGCTTGAGACTAATAATACGTGAATTGATTTCTATAATACAGGATTGCCAATTTACTTAAATATTCCCCCGCACCACGTGAGCCAATCAACAGTGCACAATGTGCATGGTTGGGTTTCCATAAATTGGGATCCACAGTTATAGCATTGGTTAGTTGTCTTGATTTGTGGATTCTGACTTTCAGATAAAGCATTATCTGAATGTAGGCTAGATAGCAATTTCATAGCATCAACTCAGAAGAACACAAATAACCATTAATACGCATTTCTTCTGAACAATAGTTCGAAATACTTAACAAGTACTCTCATAATTTCAAGTGAACTAAATGACTTCTAGCGTATGACAAAGATCATGCCAACAATATGAGTTAGAATGAAATGACGTCTGGTTAAGGGACTATCTAGTAGTAAAGGAAGGAACGAGTTAGTGTCACATTCTAAGCATAGGCACTTGGGTAGCCTTATGGTTATAGGTAGTTTATTTTCAATTTATGGTGAACTATAGATCGAAGAGGATAATAACAGCTACTTTATACATGATTATTATCCCAGACAATGACACGGCTTTCTATCTGTTTACCCGTATATTCGCACATCCGTTCTCGGATCCCACTCTCGTGCCTCATTCTCGGAAGTTGTACAATATTGATATTGTCACTTGTAAGCCCCAACTTCCGAGATAGGCTCCGCCTAGTGTCACGCTTAGCCTACGTTGGAAAGCGTAGGCTATAGGCAATTATCGGCTTACAAGCCGTCACAGTTAGAAAGGATTATAAGTAGCCTTTTTTGGTCGCAGTAGTTTCCTTTCTTCTTTATTAAGTTCAATACATCAAATATCATCACAGCCAGCTTGGCTCTCTCACAGTAAAGGGAAGCATATGCAATCATGAAGGAGAAAAGGATATAATTAGACTGCTCCTCTAAACATAGGTACCTGACTCCATTTATCCCCAATAGATAATCCGGGCGGGATTCCTATTCACAGAAGTAAGTGTTGAATGGCCTAATGACTTAATGACCTTTCATGAAATATCTTATAAATGATGACTAATCATGTTGATGAGTAATGAGTTACCTGTATAGGAATGGCGTCAGGAGCGAGGGATAGCTGCTGTATACATGTGAATCCTTTAGTTAGAAGAGAGGAATATAAGAAATATATTCACCACCAATTGTTATTACTGCTATAGAAAACTTGTGATATAAATACCACCCGAGTATTCCGACAGTAAGCAACACCAGTGAATGGTATACACAGTTTCTGTTTGCCAGGTATCAGTGGATCGGGACTACTTGTCAACGGATTCTAGTAGGATGAACAAAGTGTATCTCACTGCAGAAATAGTAGAGATGTCAAAGCTCAGTACAACTGCAACCGGGATTGATGCCTTGCAGTCGTGCCCATGACACTGACCCGATGCGTGGAGCTCATTACAGTTCAGGTGCTAACTATTTTCTCAATTCACGCTAGGATCTTCAGCAGTACTTGGTCAAAGGATGTAAACTTAGTTCTGTAGTTTTGCAATCTGTATTATTAGCACACAAGCTATTCTTGTCCTCGTCCATCTGATATACTCTTGTGCATCATTGACTCGTTCCAAATCCTGAAGGCTGCTATCTCTTTGCACACTACTCGTATCAAAGCAAACAAGCATATCCTTTACTATCAACTACCATTAATAAAGACCTCACTTATCTCTGTACTCGGTATTTTCAAGAATATCACTAAATCTAATTTTGTCCCATCCACAATTACTCATGAGAAACAAATGGATGAAAGTGATCTTGATGATCATACCTACAAATCTAAATCTTCATGCATGCTAAATCTAGATTCCTAATAAATTTCCATATTTATGAAACGAGCATTTAATCCTCATTACTTCAAATCAATCATCTTTGAAGCTAGATTGTGCTCTCAATATTTCATCTGTCTGGTGTAAATGTTGCCATTGGTGCTGAGTTTCAAGAGAAAATATTCAGCCGAACTCCAAGATGGAAACTAAGGATATCCATGTTTATCCCCAAATGATCAGTGATGTTATTGACACACATTTATAAAATACTCCACAACAAATGATATCTGTACCTAAAAATTACCAGATAGTTTTTAATTAAGCTGTAGAGTGTCTACATTTAGGTTCCAAGGACGAGCCGGGTTAGGACTCTCTTACTGTCATAGATTACTCATAATTATGTAATAAAGCTTACAGTTTTTGTAGCCGACATAAATTTGAGCTAATTTTACAATAAGAAATGTACAGTTTGAAATAAATCATCAGATTATATCCCTCATGATGGAGCCTTGAAAGATATAGAGTTAAGTCTCACCCATCATTATCTTCTCAAAAGTTTATATTCAAGCAAGATCAACTACTTCATCAGTAAGTCTACATTCATTTCATTCAAGTCAATCTGGTTCTGATTAAAAAAAAGGAAAGTTATAAAAAATCGAATTCCTTGGTTTTGAAGATAAAATTTCAAGAGACATATTCAAAATGATATCTCGTCTTTCTTTGCTGTCCATTTTTCTTGGCCTTTTCATCTCTGAAAGTGCCGCAAGATATGTGTGCCCAAGTGACAAAGCATTCTCTGACTACATGGTTGGTTCAAGAGCAGATGAAATATACGCACTGGGTGAACGGCTAGATAGTCAAAGAGGTGGACAATCAGAATATGGAGGCATCAAGTTCATTGGTAGTAAAGACAGTGGATATTTTGCTTTTGAAGGTTCCTTTGATCCTCAAGAAAAAAGTAAGTTGCATACCTCATCCTAATAATATGACAGCTTCTAATTCTTCTCCCCATAAAAAGCAGAAAGAACATACAGAGTTCAAGTGGTATATTCAACAAAAAAAATATATTTAATAGAGATTACACATTTTGGAGGTGGAAAAACTGAAAATACTTGTGGCGGACCTTAGGGCTCGCAACATGCAAGCACACTTAAATAAATCTACCTTTACTTAGTAGAAAGTTCATTGTCAATTAGTATGAAGAGTTTTGTAGGAAAATGAATTAAGAATATTTAAGTCACAAGACTAAACAATTTTTACTGCATAAAAACATAAAGTCTGGTTGTTTGCATGTCCAAAGGTAATTTATTTAGGAGGTAAAGATTATAATTACTACCGCATCCAAGGCCTTATTTATGTGCATGACCTTCATTTTCCGAAGACTGATAGTATCACACTTCAGCTTTAAAAATTATTGCTAATTCTAGCCTGCGACTTCCCTTGCCTTTTGCTACAGCATTGGACCTGTCATAAGAATCTGCTTGATCTGTTTGCCTCTGATTCCACAGCAACTACCCTGTATCTAAGCAAGGGACCAACTGTAAGTAATATATATATGTTGTAACATCAATGAGGAATCGTCAAAGCCGAAGTAGGTTTTTGGTCACCTGGCAAGTATGGGAGTTTGTTATGTGAGTAGGCAGTAGTCACATGACTTAGTGCGGTTCGCCGTGTCGCCCATATGGTAGACACGCCTGTAAGTGAATAGAACAAGAATCACCACATCAGAGAGAAACCTATTGCGTACGCGTACACGTGTATATAACCAACCAACAAAATATATATATATATATATATATATATATATATATAATTCATTTTACCTGATTTGGCGCCTTGAGGCCCATGCAGGTTTTATCAGAAGATATGTACTTTAAGTAGGATGACTCAATTTGACAGTTAGAATACTCACACTCAGATTTCATTTGCAGATACCACTCGAGATTAACCCTTACGGCGTATAACCTCTTCCGTGCATACCCACCACAGGGAAAAGCGTGAAAAACCTGTGGTTATCTGAGTGTGCTTTCATCATCCCACAAATACGATATCACCGCAAGAGATAGTGGTGTGTGGGTCTGACTGGATTTGAACCAGCTTTCTCCTGTCTCGAATGGGGTAGGTGTTCAAGCTACCCAGTATCTACTTGGGAAAACAGCCCGGATGGTGTACCAATGCACCATCCAACCCAACTGAACGTAATTCTGCTTAGTTAGAGTGGCTAAAAATTAGTATTATTCACTGTGTGATGTGTTGGAAATTCTGCCTCTCAAATTTAGGACTCAACCATTATCTGTTTTGTCTCAGGTTCCTGACAAGATCGACATTCTCTACAAATGTCCCGAGTGCCCTAGTTGCGCCTACTGTCACATATACATTTAGATATTTACGTACTACAGTGTGTATTGACTCATCATAGTAGATGAGAGGTGGCTGGTCATCACTAGGTTTGACAGGGATATGAGACTAGCGGGAATTTCTTCCTTAAGATGTATCTGTTACGGGTTTACCTGTTACTAGTTGTCTGAGCTGAACTGCGTGCCCAGCCTTGTATTTAATTCGGACGTAGCGAAAGGCTGAGCCTTTTGCACGAACAAGTTCTCTCTGTAGTGCTCATGTAAGGTAATTATCAGGGCGCACTTTGTGTCCACACAATCCAGTTGTAGTTATCTCTCCCATAGAAGAATATTAATTATTTATGGTATTGCTTGCGTGCACTGACCGACTGCTTTAACCCTTCACAGTATATATAAGTCTAATGTTCCCATAGTTGTAAAATATCAAGTCTTCTTTACTTCATCATATATATCCATATAATATTGTACTGTTATAATAACGAGGTCATGAGGGGACAGAGGAATACCTGAAATGGATGCAGATGATTATGGATGCGCGGATATAATTGATGTGGCTGTAGTGAGAAGATGTGTTGGAATGGACAGTAGTGAGATGGTTGATTTGCTATCTATCTGCGGAAGTATTGCTTCCTTATTTATACATCCAGTACCCCAGTCCTGATCACTGTCACGGTTTCTGTACAACATGCTTGGGCAATCTTGTGGGTACAGTATATTAATTATAATTCTCTAGAGAGAGAATTCCTATAGCTAGAATACAAATATATATACACTCTGAGATACTCCTCTTCTGTAAGGTTCTCCCTATATCTGGAATAACATGGAATCCTCGACAATACCCTAGAAGATTCTTGATACACCTGTTGTCCTCATGAACCTTCAGTATGCTTCCAGTAAGTTCATTGAGAATCTTCTAAGCTCCTTGTATTCCGAGATCCTTCCCGAAGATTCCCTTGCATTCATTGCCTACGCTAGCCAGCGTAGGCTACAGGAATCCCTAGGCTTAACAGCCGTTACAATCACGCACTCACCACAGGTGCTTCCTACTTCTGTCACAGTAACCACTTCCATAGCCTCTGCCAATATCTCCTGTCATAACATACTATTGACACTGGTTGCTAGTGTGGAACTCCCGGGATTGTAGAGCTATACACCGTCGTCACATTATATGCTGTTGCCCCTTGGTAGCCATCAGAGTGATGTGCACCTCAGTCTAAACGCATTGGTCCACCAGGCAACGCTCGGATGTAGGGATGTTGCCAGAGTGATTAGGTACTTAGCTATGCTATCAGTGCCCTAATCTCATCTAGGTTACTGCGGCCGAGTGTTCGAGTGCCGCGATGGTGGGAGCCCGATGAGGCTCGATCAGAGCTGACCCGAGGTATTCACAACATGTACAGAGTATATTTTCCAACATGATGATGCTAACCTTAACCAAATGTGTTAGAGTGAGAGTTTAGTAGAAAATCCTAAGGTATTAGGATTATATTTAATATGACCTGGCAAAGTGAATTGGCAGATTGCAGGGTCTGAAAACTACAGCAGAGAGTTGTTGATTAAATCCACTCAGTATCAGATTGCTTTACAATTTAATTAATACACCTAAGTGATGTACACACCTCCTCGCTTGTTGTGGATAATGGGTGTAACAGCGTTATTTTAAGCCCTGGACATTACATATATTAGCTGAGATTATCAAGCTACCATGTTATTTTAAATAACATAATATTAAACGAAGGATAAGGAACAGTGTTAGCCGCGTGTCTATTACTGTACATGGATAACCAGAGGCCAAGTAACATATTTTTTGCTAGGAGCTAGAATCATCGGGGTGATCAAGTAGGCCAGGTTGTTGACACATAAGTGACTAAAAATTCTCTACTAATTTTAACTTTGTTGGTATTGGACTATTTTGGTAATGGGGGTAGAAGGTAGCAAATCATCGAAGGGCTGTTTTGCTACTCTCTGGCTATCAAGTATCTAGATTATATAGAGTTTCCTCATTTAAAACTCTTCTAGATGACTGTTGTGGTTATGAGCTGTGAGGTATATAGCAATTATGTCTCTGCTGTCTGTCGGTGGAATTACACGGACTCATGTGCAATGGTGAGTCGCGGAGATGGTGCGCTCACACTGGGTGATGGCACGATGGACACTGAGTCCGTATAACTGAGGCCAAATGGGTGTCAGTAGGTATCAAAAGTGAACTCTTACTGACGATGGTGATCTATGAAGGTGATGCCAGATGTGCATCCCGACGGTTGATAATATCATCTAATGGATGATGTGAAGTATGATATTATTTTGGATAAATTTATTCACTAAACTCGGCAGGTGAAGAGATTGTAGAGTACATGAACAGCGTCTGTGCACCAGCCTGTATTTTCCACCCTTTCCTAATCCAGCAGCCCATCCTCAGTTCCCCTGTCTCCTAACAACTCAACCTAGCCAGCATATCAAAAACTTGCTGGCAATAATGCTACTACAGAAACATACTGTTACAGTTTGACTGTTATTTGAGCTTAGGTGAATAATTACTTGTATTATTGAGAATGTTTATGACAAGGTATTAAAAGAAAAAGGATCACTGAAGGCAGAACAGAGAAGAGTATATTGATTATTTGTTTATGTATTAAAAGATATTAATCAAGTCCATAAAAAACGTCGTAAGAACATTATTAAGTAAATTAGTAAGTAGTTGTGAACTATCATTTACACTGTGTTCTCTTGTCATAGAAGTAGAGCTGCACTATTACATGTTCATGCAAATCTTACAGGGGAGACAGGACTAGAGTGTGAATAGTGGATGTAGGGATTGCGTTGGGAACCCTTACGTAATGAAGGTAATTATTACTAATAGGATTATACTTCATTTTACAACACTCCTCCTGACTAACGCATCCAAGTAAAAGTTAAGTTCATGAGCCTGTGAGTAATTTAGCGCAAATAGGTAAATCTTTAGAAAAAGAGAGAGGCTTGGTGAGTATATCAGCAAGTATATCTTTTGTTGGAATATATTGTAAACTTATAGTACCATTTTGAATACATTCCCTTGTGAAATGGTAGGCCACATCAATGTCACGGTTTCATTACAAAATGCATGAACAATGTTGTAGGTACAATATTTTAATTATAATTCTCTGAAGAGAAAATTTCTGTACTTAATGACTACCTATATATAAAGACTGAAATACCCCTCCTCGATAAGGTTCTCTCTATGACTTGTCAACTGTTACGGTTTGACTGCTACTAGAGCTTAGGTGAATACCTAAGCGGATTGTTGGGAATATTTACAACTAAGCGGCACTACTAGTCAGGAGGTCGAAGCGTTACTACAACTAAGTAACACCTGGCAATGCATGGCTGGGTAGCAAGTATTGTGCCTAAGGATAAGTCATCAGTCTGGAGATTGACAAAGGGGACCAATTCTTATAAATACCTGTTAGTTGTAGCTAGAGTCCTCTTTTCTCCTCATATAGTTTAATAAATCAATTTATTCACAACCAACTCGGTTTCCGTCACAGATACAATGCTGTAAGGGAATGAACAGAAAGTAAAAAAATAAACCTGTGTCCTTTAATCGTGGGTACACCTAAGGGAATATATACACGCTCGCTTAACCATTACACTAGTGACACCGTCCTGTGGCCTAAGGCCCTGCGCAATGCCCTAACCCCGACTACCAAGTTATCAAATATCATAACATTTAGACATGTCCATATATCATGTGACTCTTTTGCCAGAACACCTTGTTTCCTTTGTCTTAACACG